CTCTCTCTCTCTCTCTCTCTTTCTCTCTCTCTTTCTCTCTCTCTCTATCACCTCTTTATCCATTTTACTGCCTTAAGCCCGTTTGTAATTATATTTTCTGGGTTAGTTGAGAATTTTGATAGTGAATAATTGAATTCTCGGTCGAGGAATTCGTTAAAAGTATCGGAATGAGGGGCCATTGAGGCAATTGGGTCATTTGAAAGGGTAATTTCTGGGTCATTTTCGAGGAATTAAAATATCTCTTTTGGGGGAAATTTCCGGCGCAGTTCTTGGGAATTTTTATCAAGGGACAGTTTCACTGAAATTTTGTGGAGTTTTATCACAGAGAATTCATAATTTTATGGAAAAAACTATGAAAATGGGAAATCCAATTAAATTATTTCATGTAAATTGATAGAGATTTAAAAAATTCAGTTAAATATATGTGTTAATTTTCGTCTTCCTCCTTCTCAGGAATTAAATTTTTTTGGAATTCCAGTAAAATTTTAAATTTCTTTCGATGAAATTTCCGGTGGAGTTATGGGAAATTTTTACGAAGCGTCAGTTTCACTGAAATTTCCAGGAATTTTTTTACTAAAAATTTATAATTAGTTCATGAAAATTAATGTAACTCTAGAAAATTCAGTGGAATATATTTTTGAATTCACAATAAATTCAAAATTCGAATAATTTAGTAAATTCTCACCTTCCTGCTGTTCGGGAATTCAAAATTTCATTGAAATTCTAATGAAATTTGAAATTACATGATTTTTTCCTCCCTAAATCGAGTTAAATGTCGCTCTCCTGAAAACTATTACTAAATCATGCATGGAAATTGTAGTTTTGAATAATCGATTGGTTTGTTCTTCACATTTTTTTCATTTTAATCGTCCATCATCATTATAAATATATAAAAACCATTTCATTTTAATGACTCCCCTCAATTATTCCTTTTATTTCATGAAATAATATTGAAAATAATGCAGCATTTAGTGAAGCAATTATTTTAATTCAAAAAAATTGACAACTAATTTTCAGAATTTTCTCTTTCCCTTCAGCTCTCGTCTGACCTCATATTTTTTGCTACTCTTCTCCACTTTTTCCAGATTCTTGTGTCCTAATTCTTTTAATACCCGTCGCCATTACAACATATGCCGCAACCCAACTTCGAAACTTTTTTTCAAATCTTTTTTTTTCCCCATCCCCGGTTGGTTCGTACCTTTTTGTCTAGTTTTTTCTTCCCCCCAGCGAAATAGCGGGAGAGAAGTTAGTTGAAAAGTCTCCTCTCTTTTCCTTTCGCCGCACATTTTCTGGCTTCACAGTGGGGAGTAACACGTGCGCTCGATGAATATTCGGGGCTGCGCCTCGGTCGTAGTAATGCCTGCGTAGAAGGCTTTAATTAACCCTCGTAATTTAACCGAAAATTGCGACGGAGTTAAGGGAGATGTGAAATATCGGGGTGGGGGATAACAGTATAACTGAGGGTACATAAATACTCGAAGAAGGGCCTGGTCTTTGGAGTAATTAAATTCAGATAAAATTCAATTCAACTTAATATCAACAGGTGAATGAGGAAGGAAAATAATTCCTTTTGTTTCTCCCGCTAATCGAATATAAATCTCATTTCGAACTCGGCAATTTAACTTGGATTATATGTATAATATATTTTCATGGTATTTTTTGTTCTATGTTTATCTATATTGTTAGAAAGATAAATTGAAATATCATAGGAATTGTCACAAGAGTGACATTAAATTTCGATTTCAGGGGAAAGAAATGATGGAATTACGAATTTTTTGAACAGCAGGAAGACGAGAATTTTCGGAGTTACTTGAATTTCCAATAAAAATAAGAATATTTAGTATTGAATTGAGCCGGATCTTTACTTAAATGAAGATTCAGGAATATATTTATCGGAATTTGCCTGATTTGTATTGATTTTCATTGAATAATTGAACTGAAACTCACAGTTTTCATCAATTTTTCCGTAAAATTTTGGATTTTCAGTGAGGAAATCTTCTGATTGTTTTCTCTTCGTATTTCTCCAACATAATTCGCATATTCTGCTCCCCGAATTTTTAAAATCAAGGGCAACAGAAAATCTCTAGTGAAACATTTATCCACATCCTACGTATATATCACAAGAAAAAAACGAAAAATTCAGAAAAAAACCTCACGTGAGGGGAGAAAATGTCATTTCATGGACTGGTGAATAGTGATTTTCAGGAGAGTGACACTGAATTTGATTTAGGAGGAAAAAATGATGAGATTTTACATTTTTGAACAGCAGGGAGATGAGAATTTTTCAACTCTTTGAATTGTCTACAAAAACATGAATATTTAATGGGAATTAATCTTCAATAAAATGATTTTCCTTGATCAATTGAGCTGAAATTCACAGTTTCCATTAATTTTTCCATAAAAGTTTGAATTTTCAACGATAAAATTCTTGAAAATTCCCGAAGAACTATAATGTGATGAAAATTGAAAAGAAAATTCTCACGGTTTTCTCTTCTCATTTCTCCAACGAAATTGAACGCCGATAAATTTGCATGTTCCGCTCCC